ATAGTTTATTTATTTTATTTAATTTCATAACCGTCACGTTTAGGGATGTAAATGATATATTAATACTCATAAGTTACTCAAATTCGATTCGAATAAAATTCGAATTCGGTTCGATTATTATCGAGTCGAGCTTGAGCTCGAGTAGCTCGACTTATCGATCAAGCCGAATTCGAGTATTCTTATACTTAATTCGAATAACTCGCGAGCTTAATTGAGCTTTTATATTTAAATATTTATTATTATTTTAATTAATAAAACTTATCGAATTTGAGTTCGAGCTCGAGCACAAATAATCAATCAAACTTTTGTCGAATATAAGAATTTAGCTAATTTTAACATATTATTCGAACTTAATCGAGCGAGTTTGAATAGCTTAATTTCGATCACGAATCGAGCTCGAACTAAAAAAATAAAATTCGATTGAGTTTGAACCAAATATCGAGCATTGAGTTGAAAGTCGAACTCGAATTTTTCACTGTATCAACTTAACTTGACTTGATTACACCTCTAATCACGTCCCAATCCATCATTTTTTTTACCCTTTTTTCCCTCCAGTGGGATCAGCTTTTTTTTACATTTTTTTTTATGAATTAACTAATCTATTTTGACTTAAAAATGATTTAGCTCTAATTAAAAAAAATTACGGTGAGAAAATATGAAAAAAAATTATAAATAAATTTTAAAATTTAAAATATTATATTTAAAAATATAATTATATAAATCAATTAAATTAAATTTTAAAATTTTTTATTTCATAAATATTAATAATAGTGATTCTTACCAGACAAATTCTAAAAAAAAAAAAAAGAAGGCAAGTGTCGGCATTGTCTAATGGACCAAGACAAAGAAGAATTTCGAGTCACTTTAAAAAAAAAATATTTTTTGAATCAAATTAATTAAATTCATGTGCCCATTGTTTACTTCATAAAATTCAATCAAATGTCCAATGATTTTAGCATTTAGTATATTGGACATCAATTATGCTTATAGCCAATGTTCTTTACTCTCACCTAACCTTTTGATTATATATATATAATACAAAATTTTTTATTTTAAAAATATTAATCTTTAGAATAATGCTATTAATTTTATAATAATTACTGAAGAAACTTCCATAATTCCCTTTTTGTATCATTGGAAAATATTCAAAAGCAATCATATGCTGTCATCCATGAATGTTGATTTTATTCCTAGACTAGATTCATCCACTGAATTTTCTTAGCTTAGATTTGTTGATTTTTTTTTTCCTTCTTTACTAATTTTTTTTGATAAAATAACATCAAAAGAAAAAACTTTTTCATTGAGCACACGGAACTTGATAGAAGCGATATTTATTTATTTTTTATAAAAAATATCATAATTTGAAAATAAAAAATAAAAAATTTAAATTTATTAAAAATAATTGCACTAATCGATTCAGATTTAATATTATCTTTTGACTAAATGAGATGTTGATGTCACGAAAAGGATTGGTGAGGAGAAAATTTGAGTTTTATTATTTGATGATCAAGAAGTGAGAGCGTTGCCAGGCAAGCTTTTTTTTATTTTTTTATTTTACAGTCATAGTTTGTTGGTTTTGACAGGGTAAAAGCTTTCACACTCAGGAATGAATAAGTCCATTTTTTATGCTTTTATTATTATCTTTTTTAGTGCAAAAAATAAGTACCTGATGGTGTTTAGGGATGGTGATCAAACCCGTCCCCGACGGATTTCGGTTCAACCCGACCCTATAGGGTTGAGGTTTTTTTTTTTTCTTGAATTTCGAGTTTCGGGTCAGAGTCGGATTGGGTAAATTTAGGTAATAGTCGGGGTCGGGTCGGGTTCGGGTATGCCTACAACCCGACCTGACATTATTAAAAAATTATTTTTTAATTAATTAATTAATTATTTATATATATATAATGATATTTTTAAATATTTATATTTTAAAAATAATATTTTATATTTTAAAAAATAATATTTTATTAATTTCGGATCGGATCCGATCGGGTACTGTTTACATATTTTCGGATCAGGTCCGGGTCGGGTATTAAAATAATTCAGATCGGATCGCGGTCGGGTTTGATGAGCATAAAATCGGGTCGGGTTCGGGGCGAGCAAAACCCGCCCTGAACCCGACCCGATGCCATCCCTAATGGTGTTAGATTATTATTATTATTATTATTATTATTATTATTATTATTCAATGATATTGTTTTTTTTTTAATTTAAATAATGGAAGGAAAATGAGTGCATTTGGATTGGATTAAACTAGGTAAGATATGATTTCACTACATTTTCATATTTTATTTCTTTTTTTTTTAATTTCCTCCACTTGTTTATTTATTCAAATATTTTCTTTAGTCTTATTTGTATTATATGATTAATGACATATATATATATTTAGATCCGATTTATATACTTTTATATATTTAATTAAGCGGGATATATACTGTTTATATGTTTAAAAGATCTCAATTGTATATATGTTTTTAATTTGTATATTTAATTTATGTTCTAATAAAAAGCAATTACATATGGAAAAAATAAAAATTAATAAAAAATAATTATAACTAAATTAATAAGTATGCTTTGTTATTCAATCAAAGATAAATATAAAAAAAATTATTATTTTTTGATGTTTTATTTTCGGTTTAACATTATAAGATTCGATAGTTAAAGATTATTCTATTAATATAAATATTTTTCACAATTTAATTAAATGATATATTTTTTATATATCCGTATCAAAATTATTGTAAAAACTATATTAATCTTCACTACTTAAGAGACTGAATCTTGCTTTTTGATCAAATAAGAAAGAATTGGCAGCAAAATTTTTCATGTTTGGCAAATGAACTTAATAAAATAATTTTTTATGAAGAAGAAAAGGAATTTTATAATTCTTTGAAATTTTGCAAAAGCTTAGACTTTGAACAAGTATTACGATATATGTAGATTATCATTTAGTTGTACATTATATATATTGTAGATCAATAAAAGTTTACGTATTATTCTATTAATGATTAACGTTATCTAATAAATTAAAGTTAATTAAAAATATAATAATTAATAAGTTAGTTTTTTGTTTAATAAAGGAGACTATAATTTAATAATAAAAAAATAGATTATAGGTAATGATTTAAAATTTAAACTTATTAAATATTAATTTATTAAAAATAATTATATAAATCGAGTTAAATTTTGAATTTAATATTATTTTTTAACTAGATGAAAATGATGTAATGAAAAGATTAGTGGAGAGAAAATTAGACCAAGGCAAAGTTTGATAACACTATGATGATGATCATCTTAAAAAAAAAAAAAAAATTATGAAAAATAAAAAGTCAAGATCTCCTAAAAAAAACACTACCATAAAGTCTTGTTTATTTTTCAACACATTCATACGGTGATAATGATGATAATTAATTAATTATCTCACACAACGTGAATCTATCAATACTTATATATTGCATAAAAATGTAATAAATGCATGAAAAAATTTTACACGAGTAGGGTCGGCAATTTAATATGACTCGACCCAACTCAATCCTATGAGGTTGATTTTTTTTTTTAATTCAATTTTCGGGTCGGATCAAATTTGATAAAATTAAAAAATAATTGAAGTCGAGTCAGAATCAAATTTTACGCAAAATTCAATCCGATCAAATATTATATAAAAAATTATTTTTTAATTAATTATTTAATTTTTTATTTATATATATTTATATAATGATGTTTTTAAATATTTTATATTTTAAAAATAATATTTTATTAATTTCAAGTCGAATTATGTACGATTTATATAATATCAAATTGGAGTCGGATTAAAATATAAAAAAACAAAAAAAAATTTAGGTAGGATCAGATTTGAGGTGAGCAAATCCGTCCCGAATCTGACCCGATGTCAACCCTATACACGAGCCACGCTTTACTATTTCAAACTGTTTTATACAAATCCTTTTCATTTGTACTGTTTGATTAATGTGTCTAGCCTTCCATCTTAAAAACCTTATACATAAATTTTTTTTTAACTGAACAATAAAAATTATAGAAGTAACATTTTTATTGTTTAATGCATGAAAACATTCAAGTCAAAAGTTTAAGATGGCATGCTAAATTTTAACAAATTGCGAAAGAAAATTCCACTCATTTGACGAACGAATTATCGTGCAAGAGATAAGATAAAACAAACGAATTTAAAATACATTAAGTTATTATCTTAATCATCAGCAACAATGAGATGAAAATCGTAGATTGGTGTTATCTTTATTCATGAGATTAGAGTAGTTTAACGATATTGATTTATTTATTTAATTTATTTAAAAAGAAGATTACGTGTTTAAAATTTTTTTAATCCGTAATTTTAAAAATTTGATCAACATGTATGCTATTTGAATTAATACTTTATTGATAATATTTTTATAATATTAAATCTAAAATGAAATGAATTTTATGAATTAATAAATTTATTTTTAATTTGCAGAGTGAAAATTTGAAGACCGCAGGGAAGGGAAGATCGCGGGGAAGTAGATGAAACGGCGTAGGTTGTGCGTCTCCCGTACCGTCACTTGCCACGTTTCTTCCCCTTTTTTTCTCACGTGCAGTTTTGTCGTCTCGGTCCTTCCCACACGTGTCGGAGATGAACGGCCCATTTGACTCCATCCTAGGATTCCACAAACAGAATTATTCCAAAATTCCCTTTGACAGCAAATTTCCAATTTTACCCCCAGCCTACGTTCAGACTTTAGACCAGACCGCAAGAGTCTTGTAACGTTGAAATGTCTAATATGTTTCTCACTTTCTCATGATCACGTGACCATGACCAAAGGGAGTTTCTGTTCCAGTGCAGCTGATGAGCAGGGAGAATTAAATGTTTTAGGCAAAGCAAAGATTTTGGATCATTGATTCGGACAAAAATGTGTTCTAGATCACAGCATTGATTTTCTCAAGTACCACCGTAACACCCTGTGTATCCATTAATTTCTCTTGTCTTGTCTTTTACTCCATCGGATTTCCCAAAATAACCCTTCGTGACTTTCACGTTCTTTTACTGAGAATTGTCGGTGGCTTTGAGATCTCATCCAAGGCTAATTTTGCCGCGCTGTAAAATTCATACGATGATTTTTAATTTTTTTAGGGTTAGCCGATTAGGGCTCATGTTGTTGTTGCTCGTTGCTGGATTTGTTAAAAAAATCTGTCATTGTCGGAACTTCAAAGGTCTTTGTTTGTAAAGATTTTATTTTTAATTATGAACAAAATCTTCTATTAGTAAAATTCTTTTGCGGGCTAACATTTGGTTGATGGGAAAAAAGAACAAACAAAAAATGATCAAAATTGTGGGTTTTTTTGTTCTGTTTTGCCTTTGGAATTATTAATATCGACAGACAACGTGCTGTCATGCTTTGAAATGTGAATGCATTTGGATTTTGTGACAAATTTATTTTTCTTTTCAGATAATCAAAATCAAAGACGTGTTGAGCTGTTCCCACCTTTTTCCCGATTCTCTCTTTCCCTTTCTCTCTTCTCTCATTTATTTTATTTTTAAAAACCACCTCTTTTGCCAGCTGTAATCGAATGAGAAGAGCTTTCTTGGAACTGCTTTACTTTTCCTCCTCAACAGGTTAGAACTGTGAAGCTCCTTTCTTCTCTTCTCTTCTCAGCTCCTCTTCAAAACCCCGTGATTCAGAGAGAGACGCCATCGCTATTTTGCCTTTGGCAAAATCCACGCGTCTGCGTCTCCCCTTTGTTTGCTTTCTTCTTCGCCTTCTTCTTCTTTTTTTTGTCATCTGATAATGTTGTTAAATTTTTAGCCTTTTTTTCTCCCTCGTTTTAAATTCTTGCTCTGTCTAGATCGGACGACAGTCAAGTTTCAAGGACAAGAAAGATCCAACAATGGCGCCGTCCTATGATTGGTGGGCAAAAGGCAGCCATAAAGGAACCCCGGTGGTTGTCAAAATGGAAAATCCAAACTGGTCAATGATCGAGCTCGAAGGTCCATCCGAAGACGATTTCCTCATCGGCAACACCCCAACCGGTCCGCGAGAAAAAGCGCGTGGCAAAAACGCGAAGCAACTCACTTGGGTCCTCCTGTTAAAAGCCCACCGTGCCGCCGGTTGCTTAACCTCCATTGCCTCCACATTGGTCAGTCTCGGTTCAGCCATCCGTCGCCGAGTTGCCTCTGGTCGAACCGACACCGACAATGACAACGAAACCAACAACACTTCCTCCGTTGAAAACAAAACCGTTAAAACCAGGTTCTATAACTGCATCAAAGTGTTCCTTTGGTTATCTTTATTGTTACTCGGTTTCGAGATTGCCGCGTATTTTAAAGGCTGGCATTTTGGTGCTCCAAAGCTTCAATTACAGTATATTTTTACAGCGCCTTTTGGTGTTCGAGATTTGTTCGATTGGTTGTATTCTCGTTGGGTTTTGATTCGGGTGGAGTATCTTGCTCCTCCTCTTCAGTTTCTCGCAAATGTCTGCATTATTCTTTTCCTTATCCAAAGCATGGATAGGTTATTCCTCTGTTTGGGTTGTTTTTGGATCCGTTTCAAAAAAATCAAGCCAATTCCCAAGCAAGACGCTGTCGCTGATCTTGAATCTGGAGAAGACGGTTTCTTCCCAATGGTTCTCGTTCAAATCCCTATGTGTAACGAAAAAGAGGTGAAACAAAAAAAAAAAAATCTTTTTTTAATCATTTTAACAGAAACCCACTTTTTTAATCATGGTTTAATTTAAAAATCTATTATGCAGGTTTACCAACAATCAATAGCTGCAGTGTGTAATTTGGACTGGCCAAAATCGAAAATTTTGATTCAAGTTTTGGATGATTCTGATGATCCAACCACGCAGCTGCTTATTAAAGAAGAGGTGCATAAATGGCAACAAGAAGGTGCGCACATTGTGTATCGGCACCGTGTAATTAGAGATGGTTACAAAGCTGGTAATCTTAAGTCTGCCATGAGTTGTAGTTATGTTAAGGACTACGAATTTGTTGCCATTTTCGATGCTGATTTCCAGCCGACCCCTAATTTTCTCAAACAAACCGTCCCCCATTTTAAGGTAACGAAATCAACTGCTTCTGTTTTGAGTTGGGTGCAATTTAGTGAATTTAAACAGTATTTAGTATGTTTAGGATTAGCTGAAGTGAAATTTATATTGGTTATATGCTTGCAGGATAATGAAGATGTAGGGTTGGTTCAGGCAAGGTGGTCCTTTGTGAATAAGGATGAGAATTTGCTAACAAGATTACAATACATAAATTTGTCATTTCACTTTGAGGTAGAGCAACAAGTCAATGGTGTTTTCATTAATTTCTTTGGGTTTAATGGGACTGCTGGGGTTTGGAGGATAAAGGCTTTGGAGGATTCTGGTGGGTGGTTGGAGAGGACCACGGTTGAGGATATGGATATTGCCGTCCGTGCTCATCTTCAAGGATGGAAGTTCGTTTTTCTCAATGATGTTGAGGTATAGCTCCAGTTTAGTCTGTAATATTGCTAGTTGAATTTAGTAGCCATTCACTTTCTTGAGAGTAAACGTTTGTTGGTTTTGTATTTTCTCTTCAGTGTCAGTGTGAACTTCCTGAATCTTATGAAGCTTATAGAAAACAACAGCACCGATGGCACTCTGGACCCATGCAGTTATTCCGCCTCTGTTTGCCAGATATTATCCGTGCTAAAGTAAATACTTTTTCAAAACACTCTTTGCTTAACGCAGCAGTTATCGTGTTTTGTTAAATTCAATAGATCTTGAGGATTCTGATTCCTTTGTTCTTGTTCTGTATTTTAATTGGTGCAGATTAGTGTATGGAAGAAATTCAATATGATCTTTCTGTTCTTTCTGCTAAGAAAACTGATCCTACCATTTTATTCTTTCACTCTTTTCTGCATAATTCTCCCCATGACCATGTTCGTTCCAGAGGCTGAACTTCCCGCATGGGTTGTCTGTTACATCCCTGCTACAATGTCATTCCTCAACATCCTTCCGGCCCCAAAATCCTTCCCATTCATTGTTCCTTACCTTCTTTTTGAGAATACCATGTCAGTGACCAAGTTCAATGCCATGATCTCTGGTCTTTTCCAACTTGGTAGTGCTTATGAGTGGGTTGTTACAAAAAAATCCGGTCGATCATCTGAGGGTGATCTTGTCTCCTTGGTTGAGAAAGAGCCAAAACATCAACGTTGGGGTTCAGAACCCAATCTTGATGAAATGAAAGCCAATATCCAGCAAGAACAAAAGGCTAGGAAAAAGAAGCATAATAGGATATATACGAAGGAGTTAGCTCTAGCATTCCTTCTTCTAACAGCTTCAGCTAGGAGCCTTCTGTCTGCACAGGGTATCCATTTCTATTTCTTGCTATTTCAAGGGATATCCTTCCTTCTGGTTGGTCTAGACTTAATTGGTGAGCAGGTTCTGTAAAGGACAGATTAGGAACTTTGTAGGAAAATGTGGATGATATAAATACAGCAGGCATGGGTGGACACCAAATCTGAGTATTGATGCAAATGAACTTTTATGGAAGATTTGAAGAGGGCTGGGAGCACTTTTCATCGTCTTCTACCCTCTAGTCTAGTCTCTGGTTCCAGTTCCATCCAATACAAGATGAAATTCTGTTACTTGGACAGAAGAATGGCATCAATTTGGACATTGGCACACTTGAAAATGGTGATACTCTTTAGTATATATAAGGTTTTTCTTTTCTGTTTTTTGATTCTTTTGTTTTTCTGTCAATTCTTTTGTAAGAAAATATTGTTGTTCAAACATAAACAGGGTAGATTATTGATCCCTTCTCCTTTTTTCGCTTTACATACGGATGGTAATTGAGCTGATTTCCTATTTCCTTTGAAGCTGGATGTTCCCATTAGTCATTTGATTCAGTTGTTTTACTCACATTTAGCCATTGGGATTCTTAACATGATCTAACCTTTTCTCTCACCAAATCTAGGAAAAGTAAAAAACATAGAGGCCTTTATTTGGCAAGGAAACTTCGTTCTTTGAACACTCTTGTTTGCCCTGCATATTTGGACAAGTAGCCCTCTTTAGTCTTTACAAACCTGACCCCAAACCCCCCTACCCCCTCTGATTTCATGAACGGGAACTATCTTTCCAATTATGTTTGGATAAGTTGACGAGGAACAGCTACGAAAAGCAGCTCAAAGAATGAATCTTGTTATATATCTCACTACCTTTCTGGTCTTCAAATGGCAGAGTACTAACTCAGTTTATGCATTTACTTTCCTTCATAAAGTTCTCATCTTTCTTTTAACAGATTCAGCTTGGCAGTTAAAATTTAGATGGAAACATTATCCAGGAATTAAATTGAGCTTAGATCTTGTCCTTGGGTAGCTGGGAAGCACATGGGTTCTCCATTGTCTGATTCTTTCGAGTCATGGGGCTGTAGCCCATCCCCACAGCTGGCTCACAGAATTTATCGTTGGGAAGCAGCTGGACCACACTAGGATGTGGACCCCCTGAAATCTTGTTTCGCATCAGCATATTTAAAAAAAAAATCCCACACGGAATTTCTCCAAGCACAGACAAAAGAAAAAAAATTGAATCTGTTTGAAGGAAGAAATCTGAACTTGTTTCCGAGGATAGATGGTGATGGAGTTTGTCTGGGACTCTGAGTAGTCAATCAACGTTTAATTGGAGAATGTTTTTTTTTTTAACAGTTTTTACATTCTCAAAGGGAACTTAAATTCCAATGAAATTTGAAATCTGAAATCCCATTATCCTCCAGCACTCGGCGGCAATAAGTCTGCAACAAGTGGCATCTGAGACAGGAGTGGCATCTGTGAAATTGATTGGCATGTGGCATTTGTTTTCGTGGGGTTCCTTTTTTACGTCAGATTTTCGTTCATTTGGTTTGGCTTGGTCCCATAAAATAATATATCTTCCAATTCCAATATGTAATTTCCTTTCTTTTTTATTTTTAAATAAATTTCCATTTGAAAAAAGAGTATCTATCAAAACAAAAAAATCTCATGGAAGAGAAATGTATTTTTAAATTTTCCTTGCTTCTTCATAGAACGTTAGTTTTGTGATTTTGTCAAAAGAGGGAGATTGCATGATGGAAGCCAAAAAGGAAGATAGATTCACTACATTTAAACTTGCATAACATGGACCTCACAGCCAGCCTTAGCGATGTTTAGGGATATTAATGGATAAAATATAAAATAAAATATTTTTTATTTTTATTTTTATTTTTAAATTTTTATATTATATTTAATGTATATTTTAAATTTATCTTATTTTTTATTTTCATGGGTATTTAATGGGAATACATAACCTCTATACCTATAGTTTTAAAAAAAATAAAAAATAAAATTTATTTTTTAGTTTTTTTTATTTTTATCTTGTATATTTAAGTAATTTTTTTATAAAAATATATAAATATATTTTTCGATAAAAATATATTAATTATAATTAATTTAAAATAATAATTTATATTATTTAATAAAAAAATCTATTTACTAAATATATATAAATATATATAAAATATGAGTATGGGTATGGGTATGTGACAGATATCATATTATTCATTTTGATACTTAATAAAAATTTAAAATCATATCCATCTCCATTTTATACTCACAATATAATACTTATCTTCATTAGAATAAAAAATTAAATTCTCTATTAGATATGGATAAGATTAACATCTTTAGCCTTAGGAACATGGGTAAATTTCATGCAATTTGCTGATTTATCAAGTTCTAATATCCTGAAATATTATAAAGTTTAATACTATTTTTATATTAAAAAAAGTCCGTTTTTATATCCTGTAATTTTTTAATTTCATAATGGACACATTTATTTTTTAATTAATTTTTATATTTTTAATATATTATATATCATTTTCTTGATTGTGAAATCTTAACTCTACTAATAATTGATGAAATAATTTCTTTTAATAAAATATAAAAAGAAGACAATGAGATTAAGATATTATTAAATCAGTAGCAATTAAATTAAATTAAACTATATATCGTAAAGAAATGAAAATGTATTATGGGCCTGTTTAGGCCCATTGGTGATACCTGCTAATTATTTCTAACAATTGGGCCGATTAGTTAATTCATTAAGAGGTCGGCCTTTCCAGCTTTTGCCGGCTCAAGTTTTGCCCCAACAGCCCGACAACCGCGAAAGTGGGGAAACCGCTTCACTTGTTTGATCCATTTCCTGTTCTTTTCTTTTCCGAACGATGCCATACCCAAAAACTCCTTCCTTTCGTCTGTGCTCTTTGTTGTTGGATTACTCGAGTCGCTGTTTAAAAATAAATATAACTTTGAAATTTCGATTAATGAAATACGTAAAATTGATATTTCACAAAGCATCACATCACACCCCCTACAAATACCAATTAAAAAACAAAATTCCATCAACCAAATCTTGCTTTGTTGTCTTAATATACATGATTGGTAATTCTAACAAGTCATCTTCCTTGGTTAAAAATTCGGAAAATAAACAGTTAGGAAGGAACTGAAAAGGACCTATACAGCTGAAGAATCCTGGTTTTTTTTCTTTCTTTTCCCACTTCGTCTTTTTTTTTCACAATTTTCTTTTCATGATGAGTTTAATGCGCAGTCAACTTGAAACACTTGAATGCTTTGTTTGCTTGGGACTAGAACTTTTTATTTTAACTTCTTCCACATATCAAAGCTCTGATTTTAATCGACCTGCTGAAAATGATAAGAGGCTAAAGGTTAGAACATGGGAAACCAAGTTGGAAAATTTAACTCCAATACTTCAATGAATAATACCATTTGGTCCCAAACTGTCCATGGCTGAACTGGAATCAAATCCCATTTGGAAAAGATTTTCGAGCTCATTGTCTAGTACAGTCTGAAAGCAAAAAAAAAAAGTTAAACCAATATTTTTTATGAGCAAGAGGTAATAAAGAATGATTTTGAAATCCTTTCACACCTGAGGCAAGGGAGGGAATTGTGGATATGTACTCGGGATGCCTGAAATTGTTCCCGGAAAGTTACCGGTGGATAAAGGGTGAGAGGAGTTTATCCCAGGAACCAATCCGATAACATTTGCACTTCCACCTCCTGAATGAAGAATCTAAACAGGAGGGAGAGTAAGGATTCATATTGCTTCACATATATCAAATCATAACAAAAGTGTATAATTTCCAATTTTTATTGGAAGAATAACTTACATCTTTGGATAGGATTCTCTCTAAATCAATGTTTAGTTCTGGGTTGACAGTTGCAAGTTTCATTGACAGAAACTGCAAAGAAGAAAAGGGGTAAATCACTGAAATTTAGTATATTTTGATCACACTACCAATGTTACAAACACTGATTCAATGATCTATATCACTAAATTCATTCATATTTGTAAATATGGCATAATTCTCAAATTCATGTCCTAAACATTTAGTATAATACTGCAAAAACTACAACTTCACATCCCCAAGGGAGGTGCCCATATTTAGTTACCAGCCTAAGGTAAGAACAATTGTTGCCAGGAAAAATGGTGTGATTGAAATCATAAAAATTTGAATCGAGGATTCAGAATCAATTTAACTTTTTTATCAAGAAAAGACTAAAGAATTATGCCCCAATAACATCTAAGGGCGCTTCATTGAAATTCTCTTGCTGTTATGAAGATCTAAAGAACAAATACCGAGTTACAGTCATGGTAACATACCTCAACCTGCTGCTGCAGTGACTGGACATAGTTGATAATCTCATCAAGCATTACAGCTTTCCCAGTAATCTAAAACAATGACACCACCTCAAATAATCAAGATTCCATTTTGTTTTAAAAGAAAGACTCTAGTATGAAGCTATGCCACCTCTACTTACCTTATCGCATCCAGGTACAAGTTCCTGAAGCAATCTCATTCTCTGACTTATCTTTTCCCTTCTAACCTGCAAGAAGGAAGATTTCCAGATTCAATATGAAGTTAAGAACACAACAATTGTTCTTTCAATATGAAAACAAGCAGTTACCCTTTCTGCCAGGCTGTGACTATTTGTAGCCTGACCCCTTCTTGCTCTCACATGGATGTAATTTTCTTTAGGAGCTTCTCCACTTTTAGCTTGTTTTTGCTTACCACGTGAATTTGCATCTGTATTTTGTTCAGTTTTCTGTTTCTTCCCATCCTGTTCTTTTGGAACATCGCCGCTCTCCCCAGAAGCATCCTTTTGAGGCTCCTCATCAGCATTCTAGTACAAAAAACAAAGACAATTTACCGTGTCAATGGTGTCATAGATTATCATATTGCTTCAAATTTTGATACTATTGTGATCATAGTAACAGTATACCTGGTATGATCCTAGTGGAGAGTTTGATTCAGGCACTCGTTTTCTACTCTTTCCATTGGGCGAAGCACCTACAAGTCCCTCCTCTGAAATTTGGTGCTCATCACGAGATTGTGTACTATTTGTTGAAGCCCTTTCACTGCCACCCTCATGAATCAGAGCATAAATAGGGGGGCGCCTGCTGTTGGCCATCTGGCTGCATTGTGGTAGACTTAAGGGACCAACCATTTCTGACAAATTTGCACTACCAAAGCCCGGAAGCTTTGGCACCAGCTCAACAAAACTTGGATCAGATTGATATTGGGAAAAGTGGGAAGTGCCACTAATTCCCTGATTTTCCATTAGGAGAGAGTATTGAGTATCGGCAAATTCACTGTGAGAAACCATTGAAGAACCTACAAGGCTTTCACTCTGGCTCAGTGAAACAATTGGATCCCAACCAGAACCAAAGAAAGGATCTGATGCATTTGAAGGCTTGTTATACATGGATATTGAACTCATTGCCATTGCATCAACTTTGTCAGACAAGGGATTTGTGTTCATCTGTGAAGATGAACAATTCATAAGGCTCTCGTGTCTGTGTTTAAATCCCACATCATCATTATCACCACTAGCCATGCTCTAGATTCCAAAGCTAAACACCAAATTCTAAGGAACTCAACCAATTTATAATTGCAAATTTGAAATCAATCCCTACTCAACAGCTAAACTAGACCTGGGCCAAGAATAGATATTTAACAGAAGGGAAGTAACATAAAATTAAAGGGAAAGTTGATTTGACCAAAATTAGCTGGGGATATCTTGCAGACTGAACAAGGAACGAGTAATCTAGGTAGCTTTATAGAACTGAGAGGATGTTAAAGTAAAAGAAACCTCTCAGTGCAGCATCCCAGAGACGCAAAGTAAAAGGAGAAATCCAATGCATCAGGCACAAAATCATACACAGACCAACAATTTGCCTCTTCTTTCAAAAACCCTAGGATCAAGTCTACTCTACTGTAAGGCAAAAAAGAAAATGCTTCAACAGACAAGAAAGTGAACCTTTCAGAGCATAAAGTGGACACAGACAAACGATGGCATTAGCCAAGTAACAGCTCACCAGTGTAATTAAAAGAAAGCAGATTCCCTTTTTCCCTTTAGCTTAAGAGAAGAACTATATTTTTCACAATCTCGAACTCAATTAAACACCAACGTGATTGATTATGTTAAGCAGTCTTAAATCTCTTCAACTCAAACCCAATTGAAGAGAATCAAATCAGGTCCTCAACTTGCAATCAAATGAATGTAGAATGAAAAATGGAGTGTAGGACAAAGTCCTAACAAAGGAAGTAAAAAGATGTTCAAGTTTTGAATCAAGACCCAACAACTCTCCAAGAACCAAGAAAAGAAATTTGGAGAAACCCTTTTGAGATATTCTCAGATGGATATCCAAAAAAAGACAAAAAGCATCAAATTCTAACGTGAATTCTGCAAGAACTGAAATGGGGCAGAGTCTCATTCACAGTCCCCTACATTGGTTGTTTGACAGTACCTCTAGAAGCATCAAATGCTAAGCTTAAATTCTACAAGAAGAGGAAACCAAATTCACCAATTTGGTACTTGCACAAAACAGCAAAAGAAGCATCAAATTCCAACCTTTTATATTTACCCTCTAAATAATTGCAAGAGAGCTATAAGGCTAGAGAGAGAAAGCACATATGAGATAGATTGAAACAGGTGACATGCGTATGAATGTTTTTAAAAGACAGAACTACTGCCAACTGCTCTTGTTCCAAAATTATTGCAGAACCTAAGCTTTCTTTCCTTTTTCCCTTTGTAAATTTTTTATCTTTTAATTGTTTATAATTTATTTAAACACTTTTTCCTTTTCAATATTTTACATTTTTTTTTTTTTAATCTCAGATGAGATTGGAGATGTTCTTCTCTTCAGGGCCAAGCTTGCTTGCTTCCTGCCTTCTTTGACCTTAAACTTTTTTTTTTCTTACTGACACATTTTGCCAACTGTTCTAACAGAACAGACCTCTCTTTGCTGTTAACACTTGTTTCTCTTTCACTGCCAACTAACCCTCTTCATTTCTTTTGAGAAACTCTCAATTATACACCTAAGCTCCATCATTCTCCATACACCACCAACCCCTTGCCCATCTTTTGATTCACATTGTCCTCACCAGTCGTTATTCAATAATAACGACTTGAATCACATCGGATTCTTTTTTAAAATATTACATAATATTATAATTTTTAAAAATTTAATTTAAATTTAAATCTTTCATATTTGATTTGAATTAAATTTTATTAGTTCAATTTAATTTATTAATTTATTAATTAATTATTTTATTTTTTATATTTTTAATATAAATTTTAGTACATTCAAAAATTTTTTGATATAAAATAATAATTTTGTTTTATAAATATTTAAAATATATATATTAATTAATAAAAATATATAAATTGATTCTATTAAAATTTTCATTTTTGATATGAAATTTAATCAAATTTAATATATATTTAATATCTTAACTTAATTTAATTTAAATAAAAAATCAAATTAAATATTATAATTTTAAATTAATTTTTATTTTTTTCAATTTTTTTCTCTCACACTTACACTATCCATTCTGATTAGCGGTTGGGTTTCTTTTACGTATCCCTTCCTATCCGTACACCTAAGATGCTATTTTGCTTGGGCAGAATTTAGTCTATAACATTTTTTAATTATAATCTAATAATTATTTAACCATATTAAAAAATTATTTATAAATACAAATTTTATATAAAATTTTAATTAATTTCACGATTTTAAATTATAATTAATTAATTAATTATATTACAATAATACTTATACTTCCAGTTCGCTTGTGGGTTAAGCCGATAAAGTCACTAATGTGATAGGTGTCTAATCTTGATTGGACCACTCAAAGAGGAGATGTAACTTTGCAGCATAATATGATTTCCCATGTTTTTAACAGTATTTTAATTGATTAATCAATTAATTAATACCTGCAGCCATCTTTTCTTTGAGGAACAAAAGGAATAATGGAATCTAATCATCAATTTTACCTTATTGTCCTGGTACGGGTTTCCAGCTGTCGCTTTTGCCCCATTCAAAAAAGCTGGTCAAATCAGATTTTTGGTCAACTTCAAGTCCTGGTTGTGATCTTGCTGGAAAAATATAAAACCCTTTTATTGGCGAAATCAACGGGTAATTTTGCCTAGAATTTAGAAGCCTGGCCATGACTGAACTCATTATCCAGTGTACCACACCCCCACTGTTTGACATTCAGTTTGTTATGGAAGGATTTATATGAAATGTGTTGTGATTGATGATGTGATTTTTCCATACCATGTGAAGGAATGGGGACCCCACATCAAGGACTGGGTAGTAAAAAATAGTATTGTGTTGGTATGATTTAGATGGTACACCTAACTTATCTATGTGGGTACTCACACCAAATCATTCTTCTTGGTACCAAATGAAGAGTGGGGCTGGCAATTGGATATCTTTGATTTTCCTTCTCGAAACAATGTAATACTAAATGTTCGGTCCCTGGAATTAGAAGCAATGGTAATGAAAATGTTAATTATTGTTGAATTTTGATTTAATTTTTGTATAAATGAAATTATATTATACAATACCAAATAACTCATTCTCATTTTCAATCTCGATCTCATCATCTCATCCGTTCATTTTAAAATTCAAATTCAAACATTTAAATTTTAAAATTTTAATTGTCAAGATCCCTTTAAAGTAACTGAAATTTTGATCAATTTTGATTATTAGAGAATGAATAAGTATGATTTTATTGACTTGACCAAAGTCGAAGCATGTAAAATATGAAACCTGTTTAAACAAATGCTTTTGGATTTAAATGTTGGACAACTCTTCTTCTTTTTTCAAATTATTTGAAATAATGGTGAAGGCTATAGATTTGTAGTCCAAAAATTTATACGGAAAATGTTTGCATATCCTTGAAGCATGTAACATGTGAAACATTTTTAATTAAACATAGTTAGAATGATCAAAATAAAAGACATCGAATCAAAATAATTTAGTTATTTTGAAGTTTTGAGATTGCATTCTGTTCACACAGTCGCTAATTGAAAAGATAATTAAAATTATTTTTTAAGAAAAAAATATGAATGATTTATAAATTATAATGAAATATTTTAATTTGATATATAAATTTTAAAAATTTTTAATATGATATTTGAATTATGAATCTATTAATTAATATAGCATTCATTTATAACATGATTAACTTTAAATTATGACATGTGATGGTTAAATAATAATTTAAATATTATATTAGTTAATAAATTTATCTTTTATTTATCATATTAAAAAATTTAAAATTCAATATCAAATTTAATATTTCATTATTAACTCAAAAAATTTCAAAAAGCTAAATGGAATCCAAATTGGCTCATAATATCACAGGTATATACATAAAAATATGGTACATTAGATGGAAGGTTGGGCTAAAAGGCTAGTACTAGGAACAAAAGAATGATAAGAGAGAATATGAGTGTCTACATGGGATTAATTTGATGATGATGCAATCAAAATAATTCATGGTTGCAACCCTTAGAAATCTAATCAATTAGAAAATAAAACCATTGACTGACCCACCGATACCTGTGAATCTTGATTGACAAAAAAATTGAACTTCCCTTCTTAATTAACGACTAATTCTTACGGACTCACATAACTAATTATTAACTCTTAAAAAAAGGCTAATTTTCATCATCAACATCTTTATATATTATTAACAATCACTTATTAACTAAAAAGCGACACCGCCATCAAGCTTGCGGCATGCGCCGAGCTCTCCCGCATTGGCCCTTACCCTTCCTTCCCCATGATCCACCAGATGCGGATGTGGTCCTGCCTAATTGGCAATGATGAGATGGGGTGGTGGGTCAATCATAAGATTTTGCCTCACCATATTTTCTCTAACCCATTAAAGATCACTTGGGTCTTTCTTTGCTTTACAAAGTTCACAACCCATGTTTGATGCTGCCTCCTCCTCACTCTTTTTGGGCCAGTAAGATTTATACTTTCAAAGAAGCTTTAAGCTTTTTTCCTCTCTTCTTTACACAAAGTTGGCACAACCTTCCTTTTTCCCCAATTATACAATACCAGAAAATGAATTGGCAGTTTCTTGTACTATAATATTAGTGGACGGTTTGCAGGCAGAAATTATAAAAACAGCAACTCATCATGATTAAAAATAGATAAGAAAGAAAGTAGCTTACCAATTTCCTTTACCATTGGGTTGAAAGTGGGATTCTTCGAATTAAAAAAAGTATCGATGATATAATATTTCAATCTCATATGATATTTTAATAATTTAAATACATATAAAAAATTAAATTTATAATTATAAAAATATCTTATATCAAACAAATCATAAAATATTTTAATTAAAATCAATAATATCTCACGATAAAACCAATTAAATTTGGGTTACGGACGAAGGGAGGGTAAACATGCAAAAGAATGGGAGATATTTTATACGCTCCAATGAAAGCTGAGAGAAGCATGCGCGTTGGAGGAGTAATCATAATCATGTTTCCTTTAGTTATTAAAGCAGGAAAGGCTGCTGTTAAGGAAACTGAAAACAATGATGCTTTCGATTCGATGCAAACTCATTCAACCCATGAATAATCATTCCAAGTCATCGATGTTTTCCACATAAAGAAGTTTCAGCCGTGTGTTTCATTGTGAAAAATAGTGCCATTCAAAAGCACTAGAAAATTTGTCTGAAAATAAGAATCACAACCACAAATCATCATCGAAAAGCAAAAATCAATAGCTGCTGTTTCAGGCGTCTAACGCACATTGGACAAAGATCTCTTTTTAACTTTCCAATGTTTTTAAACAGGCATGGAAACTTCAGAAACTACTTACCATTATAAAACAAACCTGGGTACTGAACATAATCATAAGTACGGCAAAAGAAAATTTATAAAGAAACATAATGATGAGTTCAGAAGCTGAAAGGAAATGAGGTACTTGATTTCCTGATTGTTATAGCAGCAATTAAGGGTTTAAACAGCCTTAAAAAGGACAAAATTCATGTCAGAAATAATTTCGTATCTTGCTGTTCTTGCCACAGTCCTACCATATCCAAAGCTTTAAGCTTGATCCGTCTGTCTAGATGAAATCCAGATAACCTGAAAACATCATCAATTCTGATGCTTTCAAATTTTCAATGTACCCTGTCAATTACCATAGCCAGGAGCCTGCTGCCCCTGCACCTTCGTGCTTCGAATGCCCTAATAGCCAACGAGGCTAAAAAATAACTCTAGCTTGCCATTTAAAACATGTCTTGAATCTTTAATTGGTTGAATTTAAATTGCTATAATATTAAATTTGAATTCAAGTTTTATTTAAAATTTGATATTTAAAATTTAATTTTAATTTTATTGAGTTTTATTTTTTTAATTTAAATTCGATTCAAGATAAAAATCAAATTATTTTAATTCACTTGATTAGATTTGATTAACATGTAAAAATAAGTTTAATTTTTATATTCGAAAATATTTTTATGATTTATACTTGAGTTCAAATTCGAAATATTTTATTAATTAAATATATTAAAATATAAAAATTTGATCAGACTCGTAAATTATTCGAGTCGAATATAAGAATATTAGAATTTAGCTCAATTATAAGTCGAATTACTCAAATTCGAACTTGACTCGATAATAATCGAACTAAATTCAAATTTTATTTAAATCGAACTCGAATAATTTAAGAGTATTAATGTATCATTTACACTTTTAAAATTGACT